GTTCTACAGCATTTATTCCACCATACGAACTACAAGATTTGTTATGCGAGGAAAATAAAATTTTTTTTGTTCCACAACACTCTGTATGAATTAGTTGAGGAAATAACAAAAATGTTGTAATTGATAATAAAAAGCAGAATTTTAACATTTTTCTATATAAAATATATCTATGTTTTATTTTAAATTTTTACCGTATATTTATAGAATGTTGTACTAACAATTTTTATAGTGACAGCTTTTTTATATATCCGAAAAAGCGATAAATATTAATTATGTATTTTAAATTGATGCAAATTAATCTCGACAATTGAATAAACACTATTTTGTGTTGATTGTTAGGAAAAATTTTCTCTTATTTGCTATTCTTTTGATAGAAATTATAAATTCCGACAGGTGTTTAAGATAAATCATGATTTATTGTATTTTACAAAATTTTTGAAAACTTTGATATTGATTGAAAAAAAAAATGGTAAAATTAACATTAATTTGAATTCATTATTATTGAAATTAAATTCATATTAATAGTATCTATTGTTTAAAAACAATAATTTTAAAGAAAAGTATACACTGAAAACAAATTTATTTTATTCATTTCTTTACTTGACTAATTTATTGAGTAAATACTTTCATGAACTAAAATTTTTTTTCAAGTCAATTAAATTTTATTTCACATACAAAAATTGGATCATCCTAAAAATTATTTATTTGATTTATTTATTTGATTTATTTAATTTAATATTGTTTATTATTATATAGTTTATACTAAACATTTTATTGACTTTGCTCAAAATTTTGTTTGATAAAAAAAATTTTGCACAAAATTGTTGCAAAAATGTTTTGTTATTTTTTTCATCCTTTTTCGTTTCTTTTTTTCTCATTTGGATTTGCACTTTACTACAATAATTGTAGAAAACTTTACATATATGCTACTTTTTAATTTAGAAAAAAAAACAAATAAAGAGACGATAAAAGAGATGACAAAAAATTTGCAAAAAAGAGACGAAAAAGTTCTCCCAGCGGGAGGGCAAAAATATCTCCCCAGGCATGACAGAATACAAACTCTATAAAGTAAATAATAAAAATAATAATAATATAATAATAATATTGATTCATTTATTTACAATAATAAACGGGCTTAAACAAATTAAAATAAACAAACAATAACAAAAATACAAACATAATAATAAAATCATAAAATTAAACTATGTAGATGGTTATTTAAAATTAACAAGATAGTGAAAAATTTGTGAGAAATGAAATATAAAAAATTACCGACACAGTAATCTACCTTACCGACTGATGGTAACACAGTTTTTGAGAAATTAAAATATAAATATTACCGATATAGAAATCTACCTTACCGACTGATGGTAAAATATTTTTAAAAATGAAAATACAATTTTTTTCAAAAAAAAAAATTTTTACCATCAGTCGGTAAGGTAAATTTCTGTATCGGTAATTTTTCATTTTTTCAAAATTTTTTACCATCAGTTGGTAAGGTTAAATAATCCTAATGATCGCGTAGCGCTCGTAAATCAGCAAAGAAATGACCCGAGATAGTAATATTGCGTTTTGTTTACTTTCAGATACAAAGGACGAGGGGGTCAAAATAATGACGATTTCACACTCAGTTGCAATTCAAAATTTGACTTGTTTCGACGCACTCATCATCGGGAGTGCCGCAATTTTCAATTTATCTTATAATTATAAATTTAAATAAGTTATTTTTGATTTTTTCGGGAGTGTTCGAATTTTTTTTTAAAACCGCGATCGTTTTATAATTTATAATTTCTTTTTTTTTAAATAAATTTTTTAAAAAATTAAGTTTCATTACATTTTATAATATTTTTTTCGGGAGTGTTCGCAAAATTTTGTGAATTGTGTTTTTGTGAGTTTAAAAGATATCATCGCCAGATCTGGATTGGAAATTGTGGTTTCACAACTCCAAAGGTCAGTGAAATTAATAAAAATTTATAATTTCAATTTATTCAACAATAATTATAATTAATATTTGAATTAGATTTTTATTAATACACAGGAATTTCTAATTGTATGATAAAAATTGAGGGGTTGTTTACTATTTTGAACAACAAATTTTGTATTTTTAAAAATTAAAAATATCACAGAAAATTGAAAGGCATTAAAATAAGCTGCAACGCTTATTATTTTAATTCAATTTTGCTTATTTTAATACCAAAATGGATTAAAATAAGCAAAATTGGATTAAAATAATAAGCGTTGCAGCTTATTTTAATGCCTTTTAATTTTCTGTGATGTACTGATTTAATAATTAAATTAAAATATTAAAAATTTGTCTATAAATTAGGGTCAGCCTTTCAATCAGGTAGCAAAGTTGATGATTTAATACTGATTCGAAGATGATTCGCGAAACACATCACCTCTATAGAAATATAAATTTAATAAAAAAAAAAAAGTGAATGAATATTTACAAAACGTTTAAAATTTATTTCACAGAATTAAATTTATCGTTTTGAAAAATAATCGTAAATTTTGAATTTTTGTTTTTGTGTGTTGTACATGTTTTTTCAAGTTGTCGCGATTTGCATGAGAAAAAATCATATTTCATATTTCTCTCTCTCTCTCTGTCTACATAAGTTTTCGTTTTCACTCTCAAGTAGTTTTAGTGAAATATTTAATGGGAATATTTCTGGGGCGTTTATATAGATATGGTACTTGTTTAATGATTAATCGTTACATGTATCCACCATGTTAGTCTCACCTTGTTCTCATATTTTTTGATCGCTCGAAATTAATTTCGAATTAAGCGCGAGAGAGCTGCTGCTGCCGCCGCGATAGCGAACCTCTCTCCCGCTTGAGAAAGGATTAATTGACTTGCGAATGCAAGCTGTGAAATTCATTGCGAGATTTGAAAACGATTTCAGGTAGCATTAATACCTTCTGGGCTATATATCGATGAAATAATTTATTCTTTTCCCTTAATTAACCAATGTACAACGAAAATTAGGATCGGGTCTAAAATGTATTATTCAATTTCGAGAGAGAGAGAAAAAAATTGATATAAATTATAATGAAACAATTTGCCCTCCCTTTTTTTTGTATATAGATAACATGAAGAGGGAGTTTTTAACCATTTTAGCGATATTATTAATTGATGTTTTTATTTTTTCTTTTTTATGACGTTAATGAATCATCTGAAACAATTTTGTTGCGGATATTCATTGCGCGCAAAAGTGTATATATATATATAACCCCACGAAGCTGTTATTATCGATCGTTATGGATTGATGCAAAAGTGCAATTAGAGGTCTTTACCAGATGATTTCAGGAGTAAACATTTTTTTTAAATGACGCTATTGACTAGAAAATTGGCTACATATATATTGATTGGAGGGTCTCGAAAAGTGTTTCTAAGGTGTTAAGTGGATTTCAGTCGCGTTTGTCGAATTATATACTCTTCTTAATTGACCAGATAATCGACAGGTGGATCATTAAATAAAATTTTACCGCATCATAAAAGAGTAGTAATTTTTTATTCGTAAAAATTCTTTTTCTGTTTAGAATTATTGAAAATTGATTTTAGGGAAGAAAAAAAACGATATAAAATAGTTAAATGGGAAGAAATAAACAACTCACTGTGGGGAAAAAATCATTTTTCAAAATCATAATTGCATTTTTTTTTGGGGTCCAAACTGAACTGGGCGCACGCTGGTTGGCCCGCGAGGCAGACATCCATATTCATGCAGAATAAGGTGCAATTAAACTACGCGAGGTGTCAGCCCCGTTGAAGGCATTAATCAAGCAAAAAAGCCACATTTGACGCACATAATCTCATATTACAGCTTTACATGATTTTTCGTTTACGATGTGGAGTTTTAGAAATAATTTTCATTTATTAAAAAATTTTTTTAGTGAATTAATAGTTTGTAGGTATAATTATATAACTTTCAATGAAATATAGTTGGATTCTATAATATGCGAGTGAATATTAAAATGTCTACGTCCAAATGCAATTTATGCAAATCGATTTTGAATTTATTACGTGTGTGCAAATCTATAATTATTTCCAACAATTTGTCCTGATTAAAGAGTATAACACATCGTGTATATGTATTAATTTGTCAAAATCTCCTCTTTTTGTCAGATTTCGATAGATTCTCGTTTTGAATGCGGAAAATATATTATCATTATGCAATTCACATGCAAATTCAACATTAGTAATTTGATCGTTAGACACATTTATTTTATTACATTCCATTTGCATTTTCCTAATTTATAGTTTTCTGCTATTTTCGGATTACCAAAAAGAAGTTTTTCGTTTACAAAAAAAATTTTTATTGTAATAAATTTTTGTTTTAAATTTATTTATTTAAAAAAATATATTTTTGGTTTTTATAAAACTTTAGAATGTTTTATAATTGTGCGCGAGTTGTATATATACGTATGGAAAAAAATGTTCATGTTTTCATTAACAGTTTGTGAAATAGGCTATCACCACAATTTACTTCTGTCGAGAGAGTATACATTGCAATTTCCGCGCGTCCAATTCTGGGCGGAATTATGGAAAGGGTGGGTCATGATGCTGAAATTTATAGTAATAGAATTTTAAATCAAGATGTGATGTACAATTCTTGCACGCCTAGAGAGCTCACTCTCATTATATTATATTTCTCTTCACTGTTTTACCCTCCTTCATAATAATTTCACTATTATTTCTTCATCGTTCTCTTATATACTTGGAATTTTTTTTTTTGTCTTACTTCTTATTTATTATTTGTTATATAATAAATATGCACACAGGGATTCGAATAAAATTCCTTGACACGTATAAATAGTGAAAAGGGAATACTTTATTTCACTTACAAATGAAAAGCATAAATTAGAATTTTCTCGGAAAATTTTTATTTTTATCAAAAGAATTTTAAATAATTATAAAAAAAATTTTGTTTGTCAAATACTTTACTGGGATGTGATACTAAAATTGAAATTATAAATTAAGATAAAAAAAAAAAGATGCAGCGTACAAATTTTTTTTGTTGTTTTATTTATTGTTAAAAACAATTTTTTACAAAATTTCTCTTTTTTACATTATTGTAAAACTTTTAAAGCCAATTTTCTAAAATTATTATTATTATATTGTGATGATAAACATTTACATATTAATTAATGATTAATTAATTAATATTTCCATTCAATAATAAAAAGTTTTTCCATGTTGTATACCCAGAGTGTCCATTTGTTAGAACAAATCAATCAATATTAAACATTTAAACACAAACCCAATATTCCAAGTGTTTCTGTAGAAGAAATATAATAATAAAATAATTAGAAAAATAAAAAAGCATTTAATTATATTATAGAAAATAGTAATATAATATATCAAAACGTTGAGAAAATATTCTTGTTTTTTAAATTTGTTAAAATGAAAATTTTGTATTAGAGAATTTTATTAAAATTAAAAAAAATTGTGTATAATTTATTAAATTTTTAGTTCTCTTACTTTTGCACTTTAAATCGCCACAACATTCACAATCTTTTTTGCATGCAACATTGAGACTAAGACAAACAGCACAAGTTTGATGTTTATTATCATTTTCAGATGCATAAATGCAAACTGACACACAAATAATAACAAAAATTAATAGAATGATTGATTTCATGTTGATTGCGTTAATAACTGATAATTAGATTTTGCCCTTACATTTTATACTGTTTTAACGAGGAAAATTTTTGCAGTAAAAAAAAAAAAAAAAAGTAAACAGCTATAATTTTTCCGTCATTCACTGTACAAACAATCTGTTTAAAAAGAAAAAAAGTAATCGCTTTATTGTCATTTGGTTTTAACAAAGAAATCTCTTTTATATAAATCATAGTCAGGTTATTGACCAAATTACAACCAGATATATTTAAATTTTTCTTTTTTTTTAAAAAAAAAGTATAAAAATAATTTTTTTTTTTTATTTATAAATTAAACAAAATTTATAAATTCATAAAATATTATAAATAACTCGTTTATGTTTATCTGTTTACTAACTAAAAATATTCAAACAAAAAAATTGTACTATTATTATTGTTTATTGAACACGGTGCGCCAGAAGGAGGTTTAAATAAAAATGAATTGTCACTTAAAAATTCTTTTTGATTATGGTTCTAAGATGAATAAAAAACTTTTCTTAATAGGTTTTAAAATCAGCTTACGTGCCGAATTTAAAACAAATTGAGTTTTAAATATTTAAAAATAGTATTTTATGAGAAACCAGAATTTATTTAATGTTTACTTATATGCGTATAGATAATAGATGTTTTAGATTTGGGTTCATATAAATTTTATTAACAATGAATTAATTTTCTTGTTTCGTTTTTATATTTATGAATTAAGAGTGTCGAACGGTATCTGAAATTCTTTAGCAAGAAGAGAGCATTAATTATCGCTTTGAACGTCAAATAGTATTGATTTTAAAATACTTTTTTCTCGAAACACGAACACTTTTAACAAAATCAGCCAAAATCCTCATCTTATAAATTTCCTAAATCCAAAAGACTGTACGAATCCATAGAAAAACATGGTTGCAAAACAAAAAGTAGAAAAGTAATCTAATAACAGCTGTGACTTTGTGCGCCCTGCATGCTGCTGCCATCTGACGGCGGCAGGAGGTAATGAACCCCTCATTATATTACTTTTCGTTTTGTAATCATGTTTTTGTATGGATTCGTATAATCTTTAGGATTTAGGAAATTTATATATGATAAGGATCTCTAGCTGCTTTTGTAAAAAGTGTCCGTCTTTCGAAAAGAAAGTATTTTAAAATCAATGTTTATCATTTTCACGTTTAGTGCCGTTTTTATAGAGCGATAATTAAAGGTCTCTTCTTGCCAAAAAATTTCAGGGATCATTCGACTCTCTTAAATAAATTTTGTCACTCTTAAAATCGTTCTGTTAAAATTATAATTTAATTTTTTAAAATCGGACACAAACAATACAGCAATATAATTATTTATATATGTAAAATAGAAAATAAGTAATTATTTTATTATTTATTACAGTATTTATTAGATTAAATAAATTCTGATTCCCCATAAAACACTGTTTTTATATAAAAACTCAATATTTTATTTAAATCGGACACGTAAACTGATTTTAAAAACTATTGAGAAATGTTTGTTATTCATCTAAAAATCATAATCAAAAATAATTTTTAAGTGCCAATTAATTTTTATTTAAACCACCTTCTGGCGCACCGTGTGAATTAATGAAAAAGATTCACTTTTTGTTTTAATGTTATATATTGTTAAAACAATTGTTTACAAAAGTACATTTTTCTTATATTATTGTATAATAGAACTTTTAATATACCACAGCCAATTTTCCAATATTTATTATATTGTGAAGATAAACGTATAATATATATTTTCATTCAATAATTCGAGAGTTTTTCCATGTTGCACTGCAGAATTGTCGTCATTTGTTAGAAGAAATCAATTATATTTTAAATATTTAAACATACGCCCAACAATCCAATTGTTTCTATATATAATTATAAAGACAATAAAAATTAGAATATACAATTATATTATACGTATAAAATATAATAATAATAATATTAATAATAATAATAATAATAATATTAATAATAATAATAATAATAATAATAATAATAATAAATAAAAATGTTCATTACACGTGTCATTACTTATGTTTTTAATTAAATTTTTAAAAATTAAATTTCTTTTTATCTTTTTTCAAAATTCTTTTTATAGTTTAATTAAAAAAAAAAGAATTTATTTAATTGCATAGAAAATATATTTTAAGTAACACTTACGTTTGCACTTCAAATTGTTACAACATTGACAATCTTGTGTGCATGCAACATTAACACCAAGACAGGCAGCACAAGTTTGAGGTTGTGCATAAACGCCCACTGACACACAAACAATGACAAAAATAAGAAGAATTAAAGATTTCATGTTGATTGGTAAAACTGTTAATTAAGATAAATCTTATATGTACCCTTTTATATACTGCTCTTATTAAGAAGAATGAGGAAAATTTTCCCAAAAAGTAAACAGCAATTAATTTTCCACCATTTTGGTGCAAACAATTGTGTTTTATTTAAAGTTCTACAAGTTTTATGATTTGATTTTATAAATCTTTTTGTAAAGTCTAGTTTACAGGTTATTGACCGAAATTCCTAATTATTTATAAAAACCGAATTTTTATAATGTATTTGAAATATCTTTTTTTTTCTAGTTATGATCAATTTTTTGGAATTGTGATTATAGAAAAAAAAAATTTGACCAACAAAAAGCGAATACTAAAATATGTATTAATGACTCCATCGTGACTTCAACTATTTTCCCATTTAAAATTTTTCTAAAGAATAACTTGTTCAAAATTTTGTATATAAATAATGAAAATTTTTATTTTTTAATCTTACTCTCACTGAGAAGGACAATAGATTATTTTGAGCACACCTGTTCTGTTTTGTATATAAGCATTGACACATGTTTTGGCATATACATGAAAAATCTTTGAAAATTGATTCGTAACGTCTCAACCATTTGAAATAAATATAATTTCAATGTTTGTGTGTGTCACACCCTCGCTATTTTGTAAATGGGGTTTTTACTATCTTTGAATATTTGACAGAAGATGCCGCGATAAATGGTAGGATGATTTGCAAAATTTTATTCATATAACCATCAAGGGCTTGATCATTGTTGAAATATATCATTTTCAAAAATATTTTACACGCCTCAAAGGAACATTATTATCAAGGGACAATATACAATTCAAATATAAAAATATATCAAAAAAAAAAAAAATATTAAAAATTTAACAATCATGTAATTTATATACTTGTTGAGGATTTAAATTAATTAATTTTACTTGCACTGATAAAAATGCAAAAAAAAATTTGTTTCTATATTTTGATATTAGCATACTACTTTTTAACATGCGCATATATACATGAAAGTAAAATTGCTTTTCACATAAATTTTGTCTCAATTACAAATAATAATATTCCTTTAGGGAAATGTAAAATAAAAACAAATTAACATCCACTGCGTTCTTTTTCATATAAAATCATTGTCAACTATATAAAATAAAGTTTATTTGTTATTATAGGCAGTTGTAATATCAGAGAGTACCAGCAGCTGGTTCAATATTGCCTCAGCATGAGTTCGAATGTCATAATCGGAATTTCAATGAATAATAATTTTTGCATTTAATGGAATTTCTCATTTAATTGAATATTATATGCGCGGTGAAAATTTATATAAAACGTAATATCAGTGGAGATTTTTTCAAATTATCAAAACTTGAGATTGCACCCGATTTCGTATATATGTTCTCCAAGGTATATTTATAATAACAAGAAAAATATTTAAAAAAGAAATCACAATTTTCATAATAAAAATCAGTTTCAAAATTATCACATGCAAAAGATAAAATAATTTTATTGAATTTACATTTGACTTTTGTTATCTTTAATAATCTTTAGGTGATATTTCATTTTCTTTGATTAAACAATTCTTTATCTAAAGGTAGTAAAAAAATTGTTTTTTCAAAAATTTTCTCGATAAAATTCTTTTTTTTTTTTTCGAGAATAATACAAAATGGACCATAAAATGCATAAGGAATATATTAAGGAATTCTTGTGTTCTCTTGTTGCGGGGTAATTTTCAACACTTCTCTTTCCGAAAATAGCCGACGGTATAGCGTCGTTTTACAACCATATTAATGTCGAAGGCCACACTCGCGGAAGAACTTGTGGAGGTTAAAGATCGCATTAAAACCGACAGTAGCTTGGAAAGCAACGCATCTCTTAACCCTTTAGGGTCATAAACAAAGAGAGATTCTTTTCTTCTTCTTCTCGACTATTGCGGGTATTTATTTATTTTTTATTATTTTTTTTTTTTTCACCACCTTTTTCGCATCTGCCAGCTCGTTATCTAATGGTGCCTTCATATGCTTGATAATTGACCGCCTTCCGCACCTGAGGGCCTATAGTATCCAAAGAGATGAGAGCCAAATAGACGCGGTCTTATTAAGGCCGATGGTTTGTTGCAAAGGCAGTAGCGCGAGTGGGCTCAAGAATCGACATTTCACATCGATTCTTGATTAAAACTCACCCTCGGGCTGCCACCTCATTACGCTCTCTCATCCATGGCAATTTTTAAATTTCAACTCGAGGCTAGTTTAATTTGACGTCGACGAGTGGGAGAAAATTTTTAAACCCCCCTTATAACGTTTATATATATATTGTAGACGTTGTGATTTATAATGGATGGGTAGAATTTATTGTTCGTGGAAACAACATTTTAACACCTTGTTACACGCGCTGTAAAACACAAAAGTGATGAAGGCCAGGAATTTTTTCGTTTAAACGAAGAAAGAACATTGTGCCGAGTTTTTTATTTTGATATTAATTTTTTTAACCGAAAAAAATGGAGAAAATGTACAAAAGAAATTATTAAATTTGAGTTAGATTTCTGTATTACCGACCTTGAAAGTAGCGAACTTATTCCGTTCTCTATCTCGTAAATTATAACTATTTTATAAAAATTTTGCAGCAATATTGCATTTATTGTCTAAGCTAAGTGCCTCGGGTATTTTTTCCGGATTCTACTATATAAAATTTGAGCTAGATTTCTGCCTTACCGACTTTGAAAACTTAGCGAACTTATTCCACTTTTTCTCGTAAATTATAACTGGTTTAAAAAAAAAATTGTAGCAATGTTACAATATTGTCTAAGCTGTGCCTCAGGTATTTTTTCCGGATTCGACTGTAAAAAATTTTAAATAGATTTCTGAATTACCGACATTGGAAGTTTAGCGAACTTATTCCGTTCTCTATCTCGTAAATTATAACTATTTTATAAAAATTTTGCAGCAATGTTGCATTTATTGTCTAAGCTAAGTGCCTCGGGTATTTTTTCCGGATTCTACTATATAAAATTTGAGCTAGATTTCTGCCTTACCGACTTTGAAAACTTAGCGAACTTATTCCACTTTTTCTCGTAAATTATAACTGGTTTAAAAAAAAAATTGTAGCAATGTTACAATATTGTCGAAGCTAAGTGCCTTAAATATTTTTTCCGGATTCGACTGTAAAAAATTTTAAATAGATTTCTGTATTACCGACATTCGAAGTTTAGCGAACTTATTCCACTCTATCACGTAAGTTATAACTCTTTTATAAAAATTCTGCAGCAATGTCGCATTTATTAATTATCTAAGCTAAGTGCCTTGAGTATTTTTCCAGATTCTACTATAACAAATTTAAGCTAGATTTCTGCATTACCGACTTTGAAAACTTAGCGAACTTATTCCACTTTTTCTCATAAATTATAACTGGTATTTTAACAAAAATTTGTAGCAATGTTACAATATTGTCGAAGCTAAGTGCCTTAGATATTTTTTTTGGATTCGACTGTAAAAAATTTTATATAGATTTCTGTATTACCGACATTGGAAGTTTAGCGATTTTATTCCACTCTATCACGTAAGTTATAACTCTTTTATAAAAATTCTGCAGCAATGTCGCATTTATTAATTATCTAAGCTAAGTGCCTTGAGTATTTTTCCAGATTCTACTATAACAAATTTAAGCTAGATTTCTGCATTACCGACTTTGAAAACTTAGCGAACTTATTCCACTTTTTCTCGTAAATTATAACTGATATTTAAAAAAAAAAATTTGTAGCAATGTTACATTATAGTCTAACCTAAGTGCCTCGGGTATTTTTTCCGGATTCTATTACAAAAAATTTAAGCCAGATTTCTGTATTACCGACGTTTGAAGTAGCGAACTTATTCCATTCTCTATCTCGTAAGTTGTAACTTTTTTTAAAAAAATTTTGCAGCAATGTTACATTTATTGTCTAAGCTAAGTGCCTCAGGTATTTTTTCCGGATTCGACCAAAAAAAAAATTTGAGCTAGATTTCTGAATTAGCGACATACTTTTTTTGTTATCAATACCACAGTCGGTATCAGCCACAGATGTCGTGTTTCTAAATATTATGTTTTTTTTTTCCTTTTTAATTCCTTTTTTTCAATTGTATAATAGAAATAATTTTTTGCATCTGTCTCTTGTGGGTAAATTTTATGATTTTTTGGGTAACACTTCTTGCTGTCTACATTATTTAAATGGTATTAAATTTAAACCAGGGCTGTTGTACCCGGAAGCTGTTTTCTCTCATCTCGGAGAGATGTTTCCCTTCTCTCTCTCTCTCTCTCTCTCTCTCTCTCTCTCTCTCTCTCTCTCTCTCTCTCTCTCTCTCTCTATCTCTCTCTCTCTCTCTCTCTCTCTCTTTCTCTCTTAAAGCTCGGGCGCCAATTACGACGAAATTGAAAATTTCGTACAATGCGCTCGTAAATCGCGACAGCGATGCGCTCAAGGCCCCGGAGCGGAAATTCTCTGCACCTGAAAACATTAAAAGATCTTCACAAGAAGGTGATTTCAAGTTGTCTGCAATCATCACTTTCATCCTTATTACTGTTATTCGAAAGATAATTTTAAAGACATCAGTTTTTTTTTTTTTTTAATCAAGCATCGAATCAGTGTGTTATCTTTTTAATAGAAAGCACACTATACTGTGTAATTTCGACTTTTTATCTCACAAGGAACTCGACAATTATATAAATGAAAATTCTTTCATAAGAATTAAAAATATTTCTCAAATTGACCATAATTAGTGAATTTTAATTAAAAAAAACTTTTTTTTCCAAAATTTAAAAAATGTTTTAATTTTGTTTGAATATTTATTTTCTAGAAAAATTTTAAAATTGTAATATTTCTAAATTAAAATTTTGTAAAAGTTTAAAAAAATATTTTTTTATGAGACTAATTTTTTTTGGTCCATTCTTTTTGGAATATGACTTTTTGATGTATTCAGTACACTCTTGTCTTAATGGCATATATGTGCTGAGTTACGCGTTGCGAAAAGATCAACCCTTTTGGCGATTATAAGCGAAAGCCTGCTAG